TAAAAGTAAAAAATTAAATTAATAAATTAAAATAAAATAAAATTAAATAATACAATAAGATAAAATTAATAAAACAATAAACTAAAATACTCCTTCCTTAGGCACACTAGTCTTCTTCCAAGTGTCCAGCAGCCACGAGTGGCCAAATGGCGCCACCCAGAGCCTTTCCACATTGTAGAACGACAGATGGACAGGTGTATCCTGGTTCTTAGTAACAGCCAACCGGGCACAGAACAGTGTAACAACATTGAATTTTACCTGAGTCCCTTGACGTTGGAAAAAAAAGCCAAGGTTAAGAAATCCCCCCATCCTTTGTGCTCTGGAAAATGGCTGACTGCAAAGAACCACCGTTCCCAACATGACCTTGATAAAACTCAAGATACTCCCGTTTACCTGCGCCAGACACAAACCAAAAACCAAACCCCTTGCCACTGAGTCAGTTCAGAGTAGAACTGCCCCGTAGGGTTTCCAGGGCTGAAATCTTTACGGAAGCAGACTGCTGTATCTTTATCGCTAGGAGCCGGTGTTCAAACCACCAATCCTTCTGTTAGCAGTCGACTGTTTTATCCACTGCACCACCTGTTAAAAAACCCGTTGCTGTCCAGTCGATTGCAACTCACAGCGACCCTATAGGACAGAGCAGAGCTGCCCCCATGGGGTTTCCAAGGCTGTAAATCTTCACAGAAGCAGACTGCCACATCTAGAGGGACAGCTGGTGGGTTCACACCTCCGACCTTTCGGTCAGCAGCTGAGCGCTTAACCACTGCGCCACCAGGCTTTGAACCCTCCAGATTCCCATTCTTCGCCTCATAAATAATTTGGTGAACTGCTTGTGTCTACTGACCAATTAGAACAAAATGCCTGCTAACCAAACTGTAATTGAGCTTCTCCCCTTCCCAGTGGGCGTGGGCCCACTCTCAGCCTGAGCCAGCACAGGGCCCTTCCTTCAGGGCCCTTCCTAGGAACAGACTGGCCTCCTGGTAGAACCTTCTCTGATCTACTATCTGATCACACCACCCTCTCATTGCACTTTGCTACACTCCTTCTTTCATCCCTGGGTGGTGTAAATGGTTTGCGCTTGACTAGTAGGTGAAAGGTTGGCCCTTCGAACTCAACCAGCTGCACCATAGAAGAAAGGCCTGGCGATCTACTTTGGTAAAGATCACAGCCATGAAAACCCTACGGAGCAGTTCTACTACGTAACACTTGTGTTGCAGTGAGTCTGAATCGGAACGGACTTGAAGGCAATGAATTTTTCACTCCTTTATAAAAGAAGCCTTTTCTTCTAACCCTCTAGACGCTTGCAGATTTTATGCTCAGAGCGTTCTTCCGATTGTAATACTCCCCCTTCCCCCTCCCGCCAATAATCCTTTTGAATAAAGTCTCTCCTTACTAAGTCCGAATTTGTTTTTCACAGTGTTTACTCTCTACAAATACTTTTCAGCCTCTCCGTGTCGGTCCGCGCCGGGCCCAGGACAGCGCCGCAGCCCTGAGCACTCGGGGGCCGGGGGACAGGAAGCCCGGAGAGTACCCTTCAGGCCTCCGACACCCCGCAGGCGCGACGGTCGCGGCGTTCAGGAACCCGCCCGGAACCCGCCGCCCCGGCGCCTCGCCCGAGTGGGGACACAGTTCTGCGCCGGACGCGCCGCCCTGGGGCCGCACTTCGGCGCCGGACTGGGGCTGCGCGCGCCGGTTCCGGTCCAATCCAGGCCTGAGCGACCCACAGAGTCCCGCGGAGGAGTGCGCAGTGGACGCCGGAGCGAAGGTGGTGCAGGAGAAGGAAGACGGACTCGCGCAGCCCGGCTGAGGTAGAGCCGCGCCGCCCTCTGCCTTACTTCGTGGCCTGGCGTCCCAGCCCTTGGCGGTCCCCTGAGCCGTGCTGGCCTTGAGTGGACAAGAGTACACTAACTAGTAGTCTTAAGTACGCTACGTAGACCCCGCGCGCCTCTCCAGCCGGCGCGGCCCTTGTTCGCGCGCTCCGCGTCCTTCCCACCCTAGCTGTCAAGACCATCCCAGCACACCTGCCCGCCGTTTGGTCGGTGCGGGGAATGTTCGCCCCCGCCCAAGGACACGAAGTGTCCACCCGCTAAGGTTGGGGCCGGATGAGGGCGAGCGTTGAGGAGGCACTCGCTGGGGCCTCCCCTTCAGCTCGCTCTGACCGCACGGGGGGTCACTGCCGGCTTCTCATCAACACCGACTGTCCTTACCGACTCTTGCATCCTGTTTTCCTTCCCTGCTCTCAAAGGCCTCCAGGTTCTGTGCGGGAAGCAGAGCACACAGTCTGGTCAGGCAAACTGCACTTGAATCTTCCCTGCCACTTACTGGCATGTGGCCTTGGGCGGGTTGTTCACCTTCATGGGCCTCAGTTGCCTCGTTTGTCCAGTGGAGAGGACAGCACCCACCTCGCAGGGACGTTGGGGGGGAAATGCATGTAAAGCGGGTAGCATAGACTGACTCATGGCAGCTGTTCAGGAAGTGACACTGAGGCCATTGAAGTTAGTGAGGTCCTCAGTCAGTCGTCATTAGAGGTAATTTTTTTCTCTTGTGTCTAAAATTTGTTTCCATTTCCTGTTGCTGTTGCCATGGAGTAGGCTCCAACTGGAGGCAGCATTATGTATAACAATGAAAAATGACCTTGTCCTGCACCATCGTCACAGTCACTGATATATTTGAGGCCATTGTTGCAGCCACTGTGTCAGTCCATCTCGCTGAGGTTTTCCCTGACCCTCTACCAACCACGATGTCCTTTCCTAGCAATTGATCTTTCTTGATGATGTGTCCAAAGTAAGCAAGACAAGAGGCCCACAGAAATCAGCCCTAAAGTACCTGGCCCCTCCCCCATTTTATTTGTTTAATGTCTACTCTGTACACCCTTTAGTGATTCGAAGCCAGTCTAGCTCCTTCAGGGAGGTAGATCTTTAAACAAACAATCTCAATATTCAAGTGTAGCAGAGAGACCTGGAAAGAGGGAAGACTTCAAAGAGAAGGTGATAATCTGAGCTGGGCTTTGACTGATGGTTAGGAATTTGCTACAAAGGGATGGGAAGTTCAGAGGTGGGAGCAGGAACTTCGAGTTTGGGGAGTCTAGGGAGAGGAAGGAGATGTGTGTGGTGGGAGCCGAGGCTGTGGCCAGGGCATTACCGGGGGCTGGAAGGGTTTTAAGCAAAGGTGTGACCTGATCACGGTGTGAAGTATCATTCCACGCGTCCTTACCGTGACTATTGTAAGCTGAGGATTTCCCTTCCCTCTTTTTCCCGCCGAACCTTCTCCTCAAGGTGGACTGAATTGGTGGACTAAACGGTGGCTTGAAACAGCAGAAGCTTCACTCTTCCAGATGGCAGTAAAAAAAAAAAAAAAAAAAAAGGCATTTTGCATCCTTGTATGGATATGGGTTTCAGGTCTGTGCTTTCCCTTTTGTTTTGTGTTTTTATTTGAATGAAGTCCTCCTGAGTGTACTGTGAATGTCTGTCACTTAAAAATATCATTTTGGAAACAACCCCGAAAACCCTAGGCATCACATTGAAATGACTGCCTTCCACTGCAGGAATAGGGCTGTCCACATCCTACCCCTCACCCTCATCAAGCATGCTGTCCTGGGGTCCGCTTAAAGAGGAGGTTGGAGGGGGGTGTTGGGTATGGTGTGAATAGATCAGGTGCCTTTTTAGTAATTTAGAAATCAGTCACCTTCATTTGAATGCAAGTATCGTTCTTATGGGGTAAATTTGCTGTGTGGTTGTGGTGAGCTCCCATTGGACAAGTCACCATGGAAGGAGAGTATGGACATGTGGTGCCCATCCATGTTCATTCTCACCTTCCTCTGTGAGGTAGGAGTAGAGGCTTGGACAGAAGGTAAGAGAACTAGTAAGACAGGAGTTGGCATTCAAGTCGAGGTCTAATTGGACTCTGGAAGCCATGCTCGTGACTAGAGTCCTCGTTAAGATATAAAAGGTGTGATCTGCCAGTGTTTGCCCTTCAGGTTGTTTTTTTTTTTACAACTATGGTTATACTTTGCTCCCACGGCAATACTGCAAGGAGCCTTTCCTGTCGGTCTGTGCTCACCCGCAGTCAGGCCAAGCAGCTACCTGATGCCCGCTCTGTGTGTGCCTCACCTTCCTGAGAATAGGGGTTTCTGTAACGCTGGTATGAGCATCTTGTATGTACACTTTTGTGTGCCTCTTGGTAGGTGTACAGAGGGTATACCTTAGGATAGACCTTAAACATACTACCATAGGAACAAAGGGGTTGCATTTCCTGTTTTCAGGGTTTTCACTGCATATTCCAGTTTTGACGTAACTGTGGAGTGTCCTTTCCAGATTGTGGACTCGATGCCCCTGCTCTGTGTGCAGTGGAGTTTAATTCACGTATGATGTCATCTCAGGACGGTTCCTCACGATGCAGCAGATCTTCACAAACGCCCTTCACTTGTCGTATGGCAGAGAGGGTCCGAGTGTGGGGCTGGCTGGACCAGGCAAGGGCCTCCGCTCCTCTTTTTTTTCTTTCTTAGTTGTGCTTTAGATGAAGGTTTACAGAGTAAATTAGTTTCTCGTTAAACAATTAATATGTATATTGTTTCGTGACATTGGTTGCCAACCCCATGACATGTCAACACTCTCCTCTTCTTGACCTTGGGTTCCCCATTACCAGCTTTCCTGTCCCTTCCTGCCTTCTCATCCTTGCCGCTGGGCTGGTGTGCCCATTTAGTCTCCTTTTGTTTTATGGCCCTGTCTAATCTTTGGCTGAAGGATGAACCTCAGGAGTGACTTCAGTACTAGGTGTCTGGGGGCCTACTCTTGGGGTTTATCTAGTCTCTGTCAGACCATTAAGTCTGGTCTTTTTTTTGTGAGTTAGAATTTTGTTCTACATTTTTCTCCAGCTCTGTCCAGGACCCTCTATTGTGATCCCCGTCAGAGCAGTCAGTGGTAGTAGCCGGGCACCATTTAGATGTGTTGGACTCAGTCTGGTGGAGGCTGTGGTAGTTGTGGTCCATTAGTCCTTTGGACTAGTCTTTCTCTTGTGTCTTTGGTTTTCTTCATTCTCCCTTGCTCCAGGTGGGTGAGACCAATGGAGTGTCTTAGACGGCTGCTCACAGGCTTGTAAGACCCCAGATGCTACTCACCAAAGTAGGATGTACATTTTCTTTTATAAACTGTATTATGCCATTTGAGTTATATGTCCCCCAGGACCATGGTCCCTAGCCCTTAGCCCAGTAATTCAGTCCCTCAGGGAGTTTGGATGTGTCTGTGAAGCTTCCATGACCTTGCCTTTGTCAAGTTGTGCTGACTTTCCCAGCATTGCGTACTGTCTTACCCTTCAGCAAAGTTACCAGTTAATCTATTGTCTAGTGTTTTTCGCTCCCCACCCCAACCTTCCCTAGTAACCTTCCAAGATTGTTTCTTTCTGTGTATAAACTGTTTCATGAGTTTTTGTAATAATGGTCTCATACAGTATTTGTCCTTTTGTGATTGACTTGTTTCACTCAGCATAATGCCCTCCAGATTTATCCATGTTCTGAGATGTTTCACAGATTCATCATTGTTCTTTATTGTTGCATAGTATTCCATTGTGTGTATGTATGTACTGTAGTTTGTTTATCCATTCATCTGTTGATGGGCACTTAAATTGTTTCCATCTTTTTGCTATTGTGAACAATGCTGCAATGAACATGGGTGTGCACATGTCTATTTGTGTGATGCTCTTATTTCTCTAGGACATATTCCTAGGAGTGGGATTGCTGGATCGTGTGGTATTTCTATTTCTAGCTTTCTAAGGAAGTGCCGTATCATTTTCCAAAATGTACCATTTTACATTCCCACCAGCAGCGCATTAGAGTTCCAAACTCCCTGCAGCCTCTCCAACCTTTGTTGTTTTCTCTTTTTTTTGATTTGTGTCAGTAATGGTGGGGTGAGGTGGTATCTCATTGTAGTTTTGATTTGCATTTCTCTAACGGCTAGTGATCGAGAGCATTTTCTCATGTGCCTGTTGGCTGCCTGAATGTCTTCCTTGGTGAATTGTCTGTTCATATTCTTTACCCACTTTTTAATTGGATTATTTGTCTTTTTGTTGTAGAGGTTAGATTTTCCTGTAGATTTTAGAGATTAGACGTTTGTCAGATTTGTCACAGCCAAATATTTTTTCCCAGTCTGTAGGCTGTCTTTTTATTCTTTTGGTGAAGTCTTTTGATGAGCGTAAGTGTTTAATTTTTAGAAGATCCCAGTTACCTAGCTTATCTTCTGTTGTTTGTGTATTGTTAGTTATGGTTTGCATCCTATTTATGCTGTGTATTAGGGCCTCTAGCATTGACCCTATTTTTCTTCTATGATCTTTATAGTTTTTGATTTTATATTTAGATCTTTGATCCATTTTGAATTAGTTTTTGTGTATGGGTTCTTTTCATTTTTTTACAGATGAACATGCAGTTTTGCCAGCACCATTCTTTAAAAAGACTCTTTTCCCCATTTAGCGGACTTCAGGCCTTTGTTGAAGATCCCTCGAGGGAGCCCACTGGTGTGGTGGCGTGGACCGGAGAAGTGGTTCCCCAGCCACGCAGCACTGTGCGGCCCATCTTGAAGGAGCAGAGATGGCACGTCGCCAGATGTTTAGGAGAAAAGAAGGGAACGATGGTAGAGAGAGACAAGAAACTGAGCAAAGAAAAAAGAAATCCTCAAGGGAGCCCACTGGCTTGGCGGCGTGGACCGGGGAAGTGGCTCCCAAGCTGCTAGGCACTGCGCAGCCTATCTAGAAGGGGCGGAGATGGCATACAGCGCCAGGTATTCAGGAGACAGAAGAAGAAGGTAAGTAGGGAGAGACA